CCTGATCTTAAATGTGCATTTTTGTCCTACTCTTTCCCTGACCTCTCTATCAAAAACAAATTAAGACAAGCAAACAACAACAAACAAGTGTCGAGAGCGTTCCTACAACTAAGTGTCAGGGCTTAGTTCTAGAAGACTTTATAGAGCCATGGAAACCTGACGCTGGTCTGTTTCTACTTATTTCGTACCTCAAAAGGCCTTTGATTGAAAACCAAATCGTAAATAGATTTATGTAAACAATGCAGATGAAACACATCATATTTTCCCATTAATAGAATCACAGAAAACAAATATGTTAATAGTCACTTAAGTCTCTTTGCACAGGCAAGACAGTAAAATCAAGCAGATGTCTTATTTTTTCTCAATGTGAGAGATGTCTCTCAAGCTTGCAGAAGCAGAAGCCAGCTGTGCATGGTCACTCTCAGCAGCATCAGGCTCAGAAAGGGGCCCTGGTGGGGGCTCGCACCCCAAGGCCTACAGAGAAGGCTCTCTCTGTTCTCTTTACCAAAGCCCAATAGCTCTCCTCAAGCCAATGGTGACTATAACCAGCACACAGTATTGTAACCACAGGGGCAATGGGCTTCTGTTAAACTTCCTAACTTCCTGCTGCACAGAAACATGGCCATTTCCTCTCTTCTGCAAGTGGGGTGTATGCTTTGCTTTTGCTTAAGAAGCTCTCAACTACTCTGCCACTGTTAGTGTGACTGCAGGCTGTGCAAAAGGCCTTAATTGACATCAGAGACCGCTGGATTCATCTCCCACCCTACCCAACTCCTGCTTGGTCCTTCTTATAATTACCTATATAGGCTAAGGATCCATTAAACAACAATCTCAAATCCAAAGTGCTCTAAAATCTGAAAGCATTGAGGCAGTGATGTGAACCCACTAGTGGAAATTCCCATACCATGAAACTTTGTTTCATGCATGAAACTATTAAAAATGCTCTAAGAAATTATCCAAAGGTATGTGTATATGAAACGTAAATGAGTATTGTATTTCTTTTTTTAAGGTTTTTTGTTTGTTTGTTTGTTTTTGTTTTTGGTGCAGGGTCTCACTGTGCAGCTCAGACTTGTAATGATCCTCTTGACTTCTGCCTCCCTAGTGCTGGGATTACAGGCGTGTGCCACCACACCCAGACTCCATTGCTGGCTCAGCATGCCTGAAGGTGGGGCTGGCATGGCAAGCAGTGCCAGTGATAGAATCCTGGCCCCTGTGCTTACCTAGGCAAGCACTTAGTCTGCTGAGCTATACTGCCAGCCCTGAGTTTTGTATTTTGACCTGTATCCTGTTCCCAAAATATTTCATTGTCTGTATGCAAATATTCCAAAACCTCAAAAGACTCTAAAACCTGAAACACTTTTGGTGCCAGGCATGTCATATCTGGGATGCTCAATCTGTTCCTAGATGGGGTCTTTCTTTTGATTCTCTTCTCTGAGAGGAAAAAAAAAAACCCAAACCAAATCAAAACAGAACACCAATGAGTGATGCTATGCCTGTGTTTGTGTCTAGTCAGTCTTATTAACTAGCTAATAAGCATTTTATTTAAAATGAAAAGCCCAGCCACAATGGGGCAGGCTTCTGGCTGGCTCAATTCATGTGGCTGTTAACGTGAGGCTGGTTCTAGAGCCTTGGAGGCTGCTACTCCCCCCCACGGGGTCAGCTAAGAGGGATGCGAAGGCCCTGGAGACAGAATGGCACCTGTAATGCACCGGGCTTGTGGAGGGCCATGTGCCAGCCTCACTGCCTCCCCAGTGCTCTCTCTCAAGCATCCTGTATCTCACAGGCAGGTGACAGGAGCTGAGTCCGGGAGGCAGGGCTGTCCCTTCGAGTGGCATTTCTGTAATTGCACCCTGTTTACCTTTGTGTTGAAGCCTTCAGCGTTCTGGGTGATTTTGTAGAGCTGTGGAAACCTGAGCATGCTCTCCTGAGTGCAAGACCGCTCAAAGATTCCCAGCGTGAAGGGTGGCAACGCAGTGAAAATCTGTGTGAAGACAAAGAGCCATTTAAGAGCAGCCCTTCCGATTTACACAGCAACGGTGTTTCAGCTCTCTGGAATTATGACTTAACTGCCAGTCAAGTCCAAACCTGAGACTCCATGATTCATCACTCCCCTGAACCCTCCAAACAAAGAAAATAAATGAAAGATTATTTTATTACTGTTAATCTGTGTAAAATGAACACATCGAGCACTAAAAACATAAATATTTGATGAGCAAAGAAATCTTGTTAAATTACAACTACTCTTCTTTGTAGAAGCAAGTAATGAAGAAGCACACACAGTTAGCTCTGGGAAGTGTCAGATTTTCTGTTAGTGTGGCTGAGGCACAGCTTTACAACTTCCCATCCTGTTTTATCCTCAAATTTCAGGAAGCACAAGGTTCCTCATCCATTTATTCATCCAAGAGACATTTATTGTCAATGAGTTATGGGACAGATATTGTGTCAAGCTCTAGGAACACAGAGATTTAAAAACAGAACAAGAAAGGAGAGGAAGCAAGTTCTGACTTCCAGAACACTTGTCTACTGCACATGTGGGGAAGGGGGAAAAAGCGCAACAGATGTACAGATAAACATATAAAACACAGGGCTCTGCACAATTTCTCACATTCTGGGGGCAGGGAGAGGACAGAGAAGGATGGGAAGAGCCAAGAAATGATTCTTGCCTCAGTGAGTATGCAAAACTGCACAGTACTGAACCTGTAGGGCTGGACAGGATGGTCAGGGATTCGTCAGGATGAGGGTTCCTCCAGGAAGCCTTCCCTTTGTGGGAAGCCGTTAACTGGGATCCATTTTATAATAGTGTCAGCCATTTTCTTAAGTTTCTATTCCCCTGCTGAGTTAAGTTTCTGCTCCTTCCCACCTTGCCCATTCCCTGTGAGTCATGTGCTATGCCCCAGGGGTGGGACCTTCCTCTGTTGCCTAGATACCTGCTGACATCAAGAGCGGAGACTTCTTCATTCCTATACTCCCTTTATATACCCAGTACCTGCCCTGAATAAACGAGACTTGCTCAGAATCCTGTCTTTTCTCCATTTCTCGTATCTCCTGTCCTTTGTCCCCTCCTCCATTCCCCGCTCCTCTCCCAGGTGACCTTCGTTGACTAACCCGCGGGTCAGGACACCTTTGAGAAGAGCATCCTTACAGAGTTTGAAGGCATCCAGGAGTGCATTAGGGGGAACCTGCAAGACACACAGGACAGGGGAAGGTGGAGGGCATGGTAGAAGCTAAGAACAGGAGGAAGGACAAACAACTCCTGGTGCTTGGAGTTCTTGGGCAGCTGGTGTTTTCTAAGACACTGGCTTTTCCCTTATACCATGGGGATCTGATGTCCATAGCATTGTGTATTGCAAAGGTGGAGCCAGGTGCTGATGAAGAGATTTGAAAGCTTTCAGTCTGTGACATGCTGTGGTCCCTGAGTCATTCTCCCAGTTGGTTCTGGCGTGGCTCACAGAGATGGCTCACTCACTGCTCAGCATCATGTTAGCGAGTTCCTACCCACAGAACCAGGATGCGCTCCAGCTGTGGAACAAGACTTGAGGCTCTGAAAGAGTCCTGAGCCCATTTATTCAGAGAGTGAGTATCTGGCCAGAGAAAAGAGCCTCCTGCAAGCCTCTCAGGATCATGCAAGCAGAGGTGTGGTGAGGGTGAATCTCATGCTCGTGAGAACAGACGGAAAGTGGCCCTGGGATTTCCATGTGTCACAGGCTGTGGAGGAGATGCAGAATTGCCGCACTCCCTTCTCTTGCAGTAACAAAAACTGTTCTGTGAGTAGATGAAGGTGCTCCTAACACACTGCTGAGAGGCTCTGCATGCTCTCTAGGCCTATACCGTCACTACTATTACTTGCACATAGCTGTGTTTTCCTTCACTTTTAAACTCTACTCCCTCCTTGTATCACTGCACCAGCAGTGCATCTGCCCTATCAGATTTCATCCTGTTTAGAGCACATTGCACATGCATGCCTAGACTGGCTGGAGATCATGATTTTATATGAAGGGAATATTACATACACTTTTCTTCTTCATAGTTTTTCTTAGTAAACAATGCTTTGTGGAAAGCCTCTGAGTCTCTTGGGTTTGACACTAATGTAGCCTTTTTTAAAGCTCGTATAATAATTCATGACATGGATGTACTATATTTTTTCAGCTATTTGCCCAATGACAAGCATTCATTTTGTTGTCCAATTCTTTGATATCATAAACCTACGTGATAAATACCTATATTATACTGTATGTGCTTTCTCTTTTAGTGCTTCCATGGGAAGGAGTCCCAGCAGTATGTTCATGGGGTTAAAAGAAACACTTAGTTTTAATTCTATGAGATGTTGCTAGTTACTTTCAAAAAAAGTTTCCAAACATTTATGTCTCCACTTACAAAGGACAACTGTAACCGGCTTTTCTATCAGAAGTAGTTCTATTGGTCTTTTAATATTTTCCAGACTGAAAATTAATGATACTCTTACCTTAAATAATGTACATTTTCCTGACTGACCCATTAGTAAAAGCATGTTTCTGTTCATTTGTTGGTCATCAGGATTTGCAGATTAAAATATCTGTGAAGTATCTAGTTTGGTCATGCTCATTTTCTTTTAATGCCTTATTTCCCTTTCTAAGATTTCTCTGGTAATGTAGATCACAATTTGGTGTTTATTTTTAAAAATCTCTTTAAACACATTGTTTATCTTCTTTTAAAATGGTTTCTCTTGCAACATAAAGCTTTCAGCTTTTATTGAATCTAACTATCTATTTATCTATCCATTCATGTATTTATTGATTCTAGAGCTTTCACACTGAACTACATCCTGGCCACTTCATTATAATTTTGAGATAGAGTGTCTCTAAGGTGCTCAGTTGCCCAGGCTGGGCTTAAATTTATTATGTTCCCGCCTTAGTCTCTCAGAGTGCTGGGATTATAGGCACGCATCACTGAGCCTGGTTAAAATGCTCTTAAACTTTAAATGGTCAACAATAGCTTTCAGGTGTCCAGTTGTGGTTACAGAAATCTCTCACTTCTAGAACTTAACATGTAGTTTTAAAAGTATACTAGGGAGGGCTGGGGAGATAGCTCAGCAGCATCAGCACTTGCCTGGCAAGTGCAAGGTCCCAAGCTTGGTATATTGGGGAATTCGTAAGGTTTTATTTTTTATTTTATTTATTTATTTATGTTGGCAGAACTGGGGATTGAACTCAGATCCTTGCGTTTGCCAGGGAAGCACTTATTCTACTGAGCCATCTCCCTGGCACCCTATTTTTTACTTTTAAATCCTTAATATGTCTACAGCTTATTTTTCTATATAGTATAAAGTCCATTTTTTTCTACAATTAATTTATCAAGACTTTTCCCCTTTAGTTGAAAAAATTCCCACTAAGATTTATAAATTCTTATAGTCCTGAAATTTAGAATTGGATCTAGTTCTAGAGTCTCTGAATAAGTTGCTTAATATTTAAAAAATTATTTATTCAGTACAGGGTCTTGCTACACAGTTTGGACTCATAGTGATCCTCCTGTCTTCGCCTCCCCAGTGCTGGAATGACAGGCATGCACCACCACACTCGGTTTCGGTAGCCAGCACAGTGCACCTGGGGCTCCAGGGCTGGCATGGCGTGCAGTTCCAAGGATTGAACTCAGGACTTTGTGCTTGCCAGGCAGGTGCTGAGAACACCAAGCTATCTCCTGGAACCTTGCTTAATTTTATGTCAGTGAAAGACTGATTTATTTACAGTATCTTTGGGGAACATTTTGACATTTAATAAAAATAAGTCTACCCTTATAAATCTTTTCTAAACATGCCTTCCATATGTATTCTTAGGTAGATATTTATTCCATTTATATGTTCCATAATTTTATGTAGCATTTCTCTCTCCCATAATGCCTGTTGGGATTCTATGTGGAATAGCAAATTTACTTATTCAATTTTAGAAGAGTTATTTCTTTTAATGACACTAAATCTTCTTATATGAGAAAATAGATGCCTATTCGTTCAAACATTTTATAGCCTTCAATAACACTTTGATTTTTTTTTCAGATAGGTAGCATAAAATTCTGATGACTTTTTTCTCTTTCTTTCTTTCTTTCTTTCTTTCTTTCTTTCTTTCTTTCTTTCTTTCTTTCTTTCTTTCTTTCTTTCTTTCTTTCTTGTGGTACCAGGGCTTGAACTCAGAATCTTTTGCTTGCCAGGCAAGCGTCTATGCTGCTGAGCTATCTCCCTGGTCCTGGCACTATATAACTTTGTTTTTGTTGTTGTTGTAACTTTGTTACTTCAAAAGGAACTATTACTTCTTTTCTACCTCTAGGGGTCCACTTCTGGAGTAAAGAAAAAGAAATAAAGCTATTGTTAGAATAGAAAAAAAGCTATAATTTTTGTAAATTTATCACTTATCTGGTTACTTTTTCAAATTTCTTCATAATTCTATTATTTAAATTTAAATTTGCTAGATAAACAGTTCCATACAGATATATGCACATGACCATATTTTGTTTTTGAGTCAGAGTCTCACTGTATAATTCAAGCTAAACTTGAACTCACTACATAGCTTAATTTGGCCTTAAACTCACAGCAATCTTTCTGCCTCAGCCTTCCAAGTGCTGGGATTACAAGTACATGTCATCATGCCTGGCTGTGGTCATATTTTTGTATGTGTATTTGTATATAAACAGAAAATAAAAAAAAATAGCAAGTGATCATTTTTTTCCCAATATTAGTAGTTATTTGCTCTTTTGGGCAGTTACTATAAGTTAAAGAATAACGCTAATTTATACTGTGATGGCAGGCTAATTGACTTGCTATTGCCTGACTGTTTCTTACTTAGAATGAAGTGGTTTTAGGATTTTAATATTTATGGGAACATGCTACTGGTTTTTATAAGCAGTCTAAATATATTTAATTGGTTTCATCTTATGTCTATTTTTTCAGAGTTCTTATTTTGGAAATGGTAGCTGAATTGCTTCAAATACTTTTTGGCCAGCTCTATTTCTTTGCCTCATATTTATATTAGTACATATTGGTTATACAGAATAATGGTTTTCATTCTGGAAAACTTCTACATGCACATAATTTATTTTAATCATCTCCTCCACATCCTCTCCCTATTTCACATTTTTTTTTCACATTTTGTTTTGAGGATCATTCAATGCATATGATGTACTTTGCTCCCATTCATGTATCCTCTTACCTACTCTTACACTTCCTCCAATGACAGGACCATATTTTGCTTCACTTTGTTGATATAGTCATATTTAGATTTTTTTTTTAAATTTTGAATGTTTTGTGCTCCTGGAGTAAATCCTACTTGGTCAAATACTTTATTCTTTTAATACACTGTCAAACTCCACTAATTAAGCATTTCTTTAAAATTTTTGTTTTCACAAATGAGGATTTCTTCTTTAAACCATGTTAGGTTGAAAGCAGGATTTCCTGATATAGTTCACTAACATTGGAGATGCCCCCTTCTCACAGTATGTATAAAATTTAGCTGAAATCCCTCTGACCCTGGTCGTTTTTGTCCCTGGGTGGCCTTGTAGTCTCATTCTGTCCAGATAGATGCCTAAAACCTCATACAACACCAAATTGCCTATATAGTGCATTTTCCCTATACATACATATCCATAATAAAGTTTCATTTATTAATCAGGCATAGTAACATGCTAATTCAAAAACCACGTATTGAGAACAATTATAAAAATAGCATATTAAAAGTTAAACATAAATTATTTATTTCCAGAATTTTCCACTTAATATTTTCAGAGCATAGTTAGCTGGGGGTGACTGAAACTTTAGGAAATAAAATTTCAGATAAGGTGACCTGATGTTACACTAATATAATATGAAGGCATTAGATCATTGTTGGGGGAGTGGCAAAATTTCCAAGTCTGATTTAATGTTATTTAACTTCCTATGAAAATTAGATTAAAAACCAGTGATTTTCTGCCTTGGGGAATCAAAAATTTAAAAAAAATCATAGAAAACAGGTAAAATAGAAATACTGCTTAAAGAAAATGGCCAGGGAGAAGTCTGCCCAGAAGAGAAGGTGCTCAGCAAATGCTTTCCATGTCATGAACTATTTTTTGCACTGAATCTCTGGAATGGGTCATAGACTGGAAAAACACTAGCAAATAAGATATTGCTGGCAATCTTGGGATCAGACTAACATACATTAGAGAATAGCATTGTAACCACATTAAAATTTTCTGATTTTATAATTACACTGTGGTTACACAAGAGAAGATCTTAGCAAACATGCACTAAAATATTAATCAATAAGGCACTGTATACGTAACATATACTTACCTGGCTTAGAATTTGTGCGTGTGTGTGTGTGTGTGTGTGTGTGTGTGTGTATGTGTATTCAAATATGTGTGAACCCATATGGTATACAAAGATACAAAGCAAATGCAAATGTTAATAATTGATGAGTCTGAGTAAGAGATATATAGGAGTTCTTTATTACCCTTTTTGAAACATTCCTCTCAATTGCAGCTGATTTCGTTTCAAAGCTATCAAAACAACTTCCATGGGGAAATGTCCCACTATGACCTGGATGTGGTCTGAGTACAGCCTTTATAGGGTGACATGCCAGAAGCATGGTTCCCAGCACAGTGGAGCTGAAGTACAGAACCTTTGAGAGGCAGGGCCCGGTAGGAGGCAACTGGGCTAGAAGGTTTCATTCCCCAACGTGATTCATGTAGGTGGCATAGTTCTCACAGAAGTGAGTTAATTCTCTTAAGAGTGGGTTGGTACCTACAGTGAGGATATCCTGTACATTTGTTCTCTCCTGCACATGGCTGTTTTTCTTTCTGCTTCCTCTGTGTTGGATACAGTCAAGGGGGACCTCACCAGACCTGAGCAGATGGAGATGCCCAGTCTTTGACTTTCATCCTCTTATACTGTGAGATAACTAAACTTCTTTTTTTAATAAGGTGTCCAACCTGGGATATTTTATGGTAACATCAGAAAATGAACTATACACCTCCTTGTTCTCACAAAGTTTGAGTCTTCCAGCTTGGGAGACTTCAAAGGTCCTTGAGCATTCCAAGCACAAATGCCTTTCTTACCAGCACTCTTGGCACCCATTTCAAACTTGGGATTTGTGGCAGCCTATGGTCATCTCACATTAGGTTCATTCTCCACCACAACATCCTCTTCTCTATCACTCAAGGACACACAAATACACAAAATTGATTCCCAACTATACAGATCAAAGGCCACTGTAGGTCTTAAACTTTCATGTGCATGACAACCACTGGGAAAATTTGCTTGAAAAGCAGTGTCTCTGAGATACTCTTCAATAAGTCAGTGTAGAGCTCAGGAATACACATTTTTCAAACAAATATCGGTTATTCTCTTGTATGTGTTCTTTGGGCATATGTTGACCAACACTTTTCTTTAGCATATCAGCATCTATGTAGAGCAAATATTCAATGAGCTAATTTGAATTTTTCAAGCCTTCACAGAGTTAACAAGAAAACCTAGCCCCCATGTTCTGATATGAAATAGGGCTAAAATCTATTCATGCTATGAGCAGATGATACCTATTCCAGTCATGCCTTTAGTTTTAAAGCAGTATCTTCTAGAGCTTGGCATCTGTTGTAGTTAGGGTTTAAAGAAAACAATATAGGATACATAATTTGTAGGATTATTTTATAATAGTCACTCAAAAAGTCATACACAAAGAGAGTATAAGAAATCTGTCCACACACTAAAGACCCAAAGAATTCAGCTGAGGGCCTGGATCCCATGGCAATGTCCTGCATGAGTCCAGCAGAAGACCTATGGCCCACAAAAATGACTCATGCAAGACTGTCTCATGGATTTGCACTGGGAAAGCCCAAAAGGTCAGTGGTGGAAGCTAGAAAGTCTGTGCAAGCAGGTTGAAGGATCTGTGCTAACAGGTTGGGGGGATCTGCACTGGAGCCAGGAAGTGACCCTGAAAGTAAAGACCAGAACTTTCCCCAAAAGTACTATAGCCATGCTCAGTGACACTAAGATCCCGAGCTCTTGTGATGATGAGGGTAGCTAAGTCCATATCAAGAAATCCAGCAGGACAAACTTCTAAAGGTCACTGAACAGTGCACCATCTTCCTCTCTGCAACCAAGAAGTAATGCTCAAAGCACAGACTAGAGTTTCCCCAAAGTGAACCATAGCCATTTCCAGTGACAACAAGATCCCAAGCTCCCCTGATGGTAAGAACATCTGAGTTCCCATCAGGAAAGCCAGCATGACGAGCCCTTCTAGGAGAACCAACAGTGCTGGAAAAACCAACAGCTCCCTAACACCTCTTCCTTTCCAGTTCTCTTTTTTATGTTGTTGGCAACAGTCCTCAGGTGGGCCTTCCATATCCACTGAGACCCTGACTCAGTTCAGCTGGGTATTACAAGCTGACCATCAGTTGTCAATTTGCCATAGCATTCTACTTATAAAATAGATATAAGGTGACAATTCTACAGCCTCAGCCCTCCTCGGTACTGAACCATCACAGCACAATCAGCATCTTTTCCCCAAATAGCTGCATAAGTTTAACCCACTCACAGTAGTTTTAACTCCTATAAATCTAAATATTTGTACCTTTTAACAATACATACAGAATAGGCTCCCAAGTCCCTGTCTGTGGGGCAGATGGCCAAAGGGGCTTCTCTAGTGCTTTGGTTGAACCCTGTGCTCACCACCAGTCATCTCTGTCTTCCAGGTCACCAGCACAACTCTGTATTGCACTTTTGCAACAGGTAATACAGTTAATAATTGGTCATCTTAGCACAAAGTCAAGACCTGAATCCAGTCTCTCCAGCATCTGAGGCCAAGCCACTAACCCTCTTTACATGTAAACTACACAGGAACAAGGCATGCTACAGTCTTTAATATCTTATACATAACAGTACACATAAAAGCTACTCAGAAAATGGGACTGAATTCATGGGTAATGTGAATATCATTATACACACAAGTTGTAAATATTTACAGTAGCATCAGCTTTATTATCGCATTAGACAACTTTGATCTGCATGTATTTATGAGGGTTGCTTCAACAGGTTAAACTTGTCCAGAACCCAGAATACCAGGGCTACACTCCAAACCAAGGGAGAGAGAGAGCAGCTTAAAGACAAAGGAATTCTGGGGTACCTAAAGCACTCAGCTATAAGCACATTACTTCTTTCTGCTAGCAAAACAAAATAAAAATGCTAGGCAGCTACTGAAACATCCCAGTTTTTAGTTTATATGTATTTGTAGCTTTTGAATTCATCACTGTCAAGTGATAAAAACCCCTGCAAAATTGTAAAGAAAAAGTAAGTCAGCTGATTATCATTTTTCACGGTGTTGAAAAATCAAAATTCATTGTTTGAGCACTGATGTAGGGGAATTCTACAATTCTTTTACAAGGATGGATACTCTTAAGGACAGACAAGACAGTAGGTGCGGAACCGGGGATTGAACTCAGGATCTTGCGTTTGCCAGGCAATGTATATTTCTATATATATTTAAGAATTCAGAAATAAAATTATGAAGTGGAATAACTTTAGAAAATTTAACTGTAGCTAAAAACATGAAATTATTGTGCAGGGTAACAACAAGGGTCTATTACCAAGATATATGGGTTAATAATTTCATGGGGTTATTCAAGAAAGATGTGTCATGATTGAAACCATGTGTGGGAGCTGGGCTTCTACAGGATGTGTTGCAGCAACAAAGGCTCTAAAGATATATTTGTGCTGCTGCTAAGTACACAGATGATTGACTCAGATACACTTCGCAGACATAAACAGTGAAGGAATGTCCCTGAAGTTCTGCACGCTATCAGAAAGAGGGAGAATACTTACCACATTGTACAAGCCAATGCACCAACGTTCAAATAAAATCTGCCCAGAAAATCCATTAACAAAGGCGAACCAAAGCTGAAAGAGAAGAAAAGTTCATGAGGTTTTATATCAATATTGACCTAAATGTTTCCATTCACTGAAGAAGTAGCAGGGAATGTGGACCACCAGCTGGACACAGCTGCTGAGGAATAATGAGCTCCAGGACCAGAGTGGATGTTCTTCCATAGAATATACACTCCCACTATAACAAATATTAATATCTTACAGAAAATTTTTATATAAGGCATTTCATTTTTAAGAGGTAGTATGCACATGCTAACAGAAAACAATTTAATTTCTCATTGACTGGAAGAGTCTCAACTTCACATTCTTTTTTGCCTATAAAGTTGATAGGATAGATAGGATTTGTTTTTGGGGAAGTTTCAAATACATAAGAATCATAATTTAAAAAACAACAAAAACTCCTGTGTTGATCATGCATGTTTTTAGTTCATAAAATACTGGCCCTTTTTAACTGGATGTCTACTGACTCAGCAAATTTCAAGATAGTATAAGAAAAACATGTTCAAATCGTCTTTTGGAGTAACAAAGGATGCCTAAACAAGTACAATGTTAGACTATTATTCATGTTTTCAAGTACCCTATAATGCTAATTGATTAGGTAAGTCTGACACAAAAACAACTGTAGAACAAAGTGCCAAGAATATAATTAGTGTCACATGATAAAGAAATAAAATAATTTTAGAGAAGGAAAGATTATTCAACTATGATTAGGAGAAGACATAGAAGCAGAATAAGTGGAGTGGAAGAAAGGTTAGCCATCAGGAAAGTGGGCAGAAAACAGACTCAAAAGGATGCAGATACATAAATATGGAGTATAAAATACTGTTTATTTAAAATCTATTTATACAATACAACAGGGTTCTGGTGATTTGGGATAAGACTTTTAAATATCACCAAGGAATCACAGAACCTACTTTAGTTAGTGAAATCATGAGAAACTCAATCTATTATTATGGTAAACTTAACTGTCAGCAGAGAGCAAATGTATCACAACAATTCACACAGAAATCAACTCTGGCATTGAAATTTTACTGAGTTAGATTTTTAAAAATCAGCTCCTTAATTCCTCCAGACCAAGCTTTCTTCACATGGAAATTATATTCTACAGTGCTGTATACATAAATATACCCATTTATGATATTTGGTAAGAATAGAGTCTCACCAGGTCCCAGTGAGAAGAATCCATCAATACAGCTGCTAGAAGTTTTCCTTAAACACAGTTTTGATCACATCATTCTGTAGTTTAAAAGATGACTACAACACATTCTTAAATCCAGATTAAGCCTGATTTTCATTTATTTATTTATTTATTTATTATTAATTTATTTATTTATTGCACTTGAGATCAAACTCGGGACCTTACGCTTGCCAGGCAGACACTTATGCCACTGAGCTATATCCCCAGCCTAAGCTTGCTGATTTTAGAACGTCCAATTTAATCTTTGTTCTCTTTTTTTAAAATGCAATTTTATTTTATTTTAAAGAGTGAAAACAGAAGCAAAAACAAATAGAAAGAAAAGTCAGAAACAGGGTAACATACAAAATACGTATGTTACAGATTTTCAAAACAGGAATAGCTAATTAACAGTAGTTGTTATATTGTCTATTTTTATAATCAAATCTGTTGCTCAGATTAACAGATATAGTTATGCAAGATTGGACAAATAATTGAATATTACTGCTTGATTCCAAAAAATCTTGGAATCTTTTTTTTACTTGTCTTTTTAAAAAAATTATTTTAAAGAGAGGATAATAATAGAGAAGACAAATGGACTCAATTCACTAATTAAGAGAAATAGCCTGGCACAGTGGATTAGGAAACAAAATCCAACAATATGCTGTACACAAGAAACACATTTAACTCATAAAGACATTCATAGGCTGAAAGTCAAAGGATGGAACACAGTACTACATGCCCCAGCACCTCAGAAAAAAT